TCATCTTATATAATCCTAGACCACCAGGGGGCCTTACATAAGGCCATGATTTGTTTACCTGGCAAGTGTCCCATCGTGACCCTTACCTCCTTATGGAACTTTCCATTAGGTTGGTGTAGGGATGATACATCCCCACACATCTACACACAAATTATGTTATCCCAGGGCTCAGATCCACCCAATGAGGGTGGATGGTCTGAATCTGAGACAAACCAGGACCCACGGTTCAAGCACTATTGCTTTGCAGTGTAGATGCAGCCACACTGGACTTTTGCTCTGGGAGTGCACCAAAAGTATTCCATGATCCCATGGGCTGACTGTTCTCTGGACACTCTAGTTTGTGGACAGTAAAATTTTCCCATGCTGCACCACGAACGAAGAACTAGAGTGGCCACATTTTGGGAGGGCACTAGGAAATTTGAAATACGGGTGGTTGGACTCAGGCCCACGTAATGTAGTGTAGACTCTGGAGTCCCAGGTTGAGATTCAGGGTTCAACCGTTCTTAACCTGGGGTTACAAATGTGTGTCAGTGCTGAAGCTGTAGGTTAACAAACCCAGCATCTGCTAACTCGAGATCTACTAACCCTCTGAAGGATGACCCCTCAAACACTATAGGACACAATAATTATAACTTTTGATTTCTAAATACTGTATAAGTAAAGAAGCGCACATTCACATTCCTCCAAGTCAGCTGTGCTAATTGTCACATCAGATGTTTTTGTCATGGGATACCATTTTTTCTTTAATCTTAGTGGATTTAGTTCTAAATTGACACTTTTGGACACTCACTTCTTTTATTTGATTAACAAAACAAATACTGGGCAGCAGCAGTACAAACTTCCCCATACTGCTCTTCCAACATCTCTCAACCCTGAAACAGGGGGAAGGGAGGCATCTTTAAGGGTAAGAGCGTTCCATTGTATTTTACTATAGTAGTGGCTTAAATGTATGCAAGACTTGAAAATTGCGAATGCCAAAAGGGATTCCAACTGAACAGTGAATGAATGTAGCCCTATAACGTGCTTGTCTGATAGCAGCACTTCTATGACACTGATCATCACTGTAGCCCTGCTGTAAGGACTTGGGCTGAGTGAGGAGCATATGACTGATCACAAGAGTACTTCCAGCTTAGCCTAACACAGAATACTCATGGAACAGGGCAGTATGGGGAGCGCCAATGTATATGTCATGGCATATATGGGACTAATTGGAAGAGATTATTCACATTTAAGATTGTGGACAGCCTTCTATTTATGCCTGAAACAGGCTCCCCTCATGAAATAGTCTTTCAGTTTCAAATCTCTACCTGGCATATGTGTATGCTTTTTTTTGTTAGCTAAATTTGGGGAAAATCAGAAGTAATTTCTGAGATAAAGGAGTTTGGAAAGTCAGATGCGAATTGCTCCTCAGGTATTGTGTCTTTATCTAGTGTGCAGATGATCTGATGGACTTTGGAAACCTCTGAAAAGTTCTGATGGGCTCTTACTCTGTTGCTCAAGTACTGTACCTTCCCTCCAGCATGTGTGCACACATTATCATCTCCTCCTGTCGTAAACTTGGTTTAATACACTTATTCTTACAGGTACATGGCTCCTTTTGTGCTCACAAGGAGCTACAAGTGTTCTAAACGTGTTGTGGGCTCCTCATGACTCTGAGACTAGGTCAACACTAGGAATTTACATTGGTATAGGTATGATTCTCAAGGGTGTGAAAAATCTCCAGCCCTGGAAGACATAACTATACCAACCTAACCCTTGGCGTTGACAGTGCTAGGGCGACGGCAGCATTCTTCCGTCGACCTACCTACTGCCTCTCGGGGAGGTGGATTATCTAAACAGATGGGAGTTGCGCCATTGCCGCGTTTTAAGGCCTAAAGGGTATGTCTATACTTATGTAGATTTCAGGGGAATTATTAATCTGCCATATTCCCTGAGACAAAGGTGAAATTTCTCCATCACATGTGCAAACCACCACCTTGTAAATGTATCCTCTCCCATTTCCTCTTGCATGCCCGTGGTTTAATGTATTTGATCCTTCAGCAATTCTAAATACCACAGGATCCTTAGCAGTGCTGATGGGTTCAATTCTGATGACTCTCAATCAGATAGATAAATCAGCACAATACAGAAAGGGTTAATACTTTACCCAATCTGGAGAACAGGCATGCAGTTTACATCTTCACTGTTCCAAAACTATTAACTCAGTTTTGCTCATATTTATACCTTGCTTGTTTACAGCAAAGAGTGATTTTTACAGTATTACCACAAACCTTTCATCCCTTTTCTTATCTAATTTTCTACATATTTTGAAGTTCACACAGACCTTTGTAATAATTATCCCTAGAAGATAACAAGCTGCTTCTAGCACAATGTTTATTTTTGACAATACTTCTGACAGATTCTGCATATGCAAACAGAGATTACATATAGTTTACTTGCTAATAAGTTTCTACAATAAAGGATAGCATGAATACAAAACATTCTGTAAAATACAACATATTTATACAACTTAGCATGCTTTTAAACCTTTCTGAGAAATATGATATTGTCTAACAGTAGAACCACCTTGTCTAAAGAAATGGAGGAATTCTTGAGGCTTTGCTTCCACAGGATAACTGGAACATTCTGATTTCTTAAGTCCAAAGCTGAGACTTGGTTCTGAAATTTAATCATCTGTATATGCAGCTTTGAGGAATTATGGTGCAGTTTTAGCAAGGCAGGGGACCACAAGATGTTAATTACCATAGTGTAATTTCATGTAGGATGTAATTAAATTTATATAATTGGAGAATAAACAATTTCCTGTCACAACAGTACCATTATTTTTTCTTTAAAACTTTTTTATTAAAAATAATTAAGAAAATGTTCAATCTTGCCTGCGTCCCTTTGTATTCGCTGTATTTGCTCCTGTTGCGCTGTCTGACTTGGATTAAGATGATCAGTCATGGTGGCCCCATTGGTGTTGCCAGTCTGGAGCCTTTCAAATCTTGTACTCCTGGTTTCTAATTGCCAGTATGTCACTGAATTCTTGAGACTATTTTATGGGAGTGATGCAACACAGCTGAGACAGGGAAGATATTTTACTTTAGCTTTTAATGCTTTAATTTAGCATAGGCATCAAAATAACTGGCCAGATTTTCATAAGTTATCACCATGTTTGACGCTGAGTTATTTTGAAACTCTAGCACATATTTAGGTGCCTAAATGGGAGCTGACCCCTGAGTAGGTGCTGAGCTCTTCTGAAAATTTGGCTCTCAGCATTGAAAATAGAGGATCTAGTTAGTGCTGTAGTTTTTATTCTTGGTTTAGCGTTCTCCATATCTCTCAAGGTGAAGTAACCACAGTATGGAGAGGCCTGGGAAATTTAAGGTCCTGTCTACTAGAGATCTGTCACTGCTTTTTCTGGTGGTTGGATATTGCCCAGACCCTTTCCTGTAGAGCAGTGGTTCCCAAACTGGGGTTCACGAAATGTTACAGGGGGTTCTCGGGGGCAGGGGGGGCGGAATTCCCTAATGGCGGACAGAGCTGCCTTAGGGACCCGGGCAGCACGGGACCAGGAGCCCGGAGCCCCTGGACTTCCAAGAGCTAAGCAGATCAAAGCAAGCACATCTATCACACTGAGGAGATTTAAACTTCAAGACTCCTTATAAGAAATGGAAAGGGAGATGGATATTTTTTGCTGTTTTTAAAGTTAAATAGGCAGCTAGTATAGTTTTTAAAATGATTATGAAGAACAAGTTTAAGCTTTGTTGTAACGTGCGTTGTTTGCCTGGACTGCTCAAGACCTGAATGCTTGTGTAGAAGGAACTCTTTGAGTTGGCTTCTTAAATACCTTCATGCTGTTTCACATCTGATACTCCTTGATGAAACATAGGAGCCTTGTCTTATAACAGGCTTCTTCAAAGTGATACAAGCTACGAAAATGAGATCTTGGAAAAGTTTTGCCATTTTCATAATGTAATAAAAATAGTGTAATGATAAATAATAATTATAAATAGTGGAAATATAAAATTTGTTTTTATGGCATGCTTATTACACAAGTTCACTGCTTTTATCATTTATACTCAGGTAAAGGAGAAAATCCCTGGAAATATTCATTTTTAGGAGGGGGTTCGCGAGACTTGACAAGGGGTTCACAGGTTGTTAAAGTTTGGGAACCACTGCTGTAGAGGCTCCCCATTCCTCTGAGAGTGTGAATACTCCGTACTAAGGAAGATTTATTTTATTTTTATTAAATAAAATAATAAAAAAAGTAACTCCTGAGAGTTCATTCCAAGCAGTTTTATAGGCTACTAAATCATTAGAAGAAAGTATTGATAAAAAGTTGAAACTTTGTCCCATTTATTTCTGAACTTAAGAAAAAAGTTGTAATGGTTGAAGAATCTCTTTAGTCCATGGACTCATGACTACAACTCTAGCCAGTATTAAACACCCAAAATGAAAACCAAAAACAGTTAATATTGCAGTACACAGAAATCTAAAAGTATTAGGTCTGAAAGAGTATTTGTAGATAGAAACAATACAGAGGATTAAGTTGTGCTGGTAACTATGGTACAAAATAGGGCAACAAGTCTGAAAAGACTCATTGCATGTGCTTAACTTTGTGCACTGAGAGATGTCAGTCTTCATTAAATATTGATTACTAAACCTATTGACTGGTTAGGCATTTGCAACTTCACTCAAATGTTTATAAATTTGTCTAGCCATACATAATTTTATTCCTAGCAGGAATGGAACTGTAGTACTGGGGTGTGTGTGTGTGTTTGTTTTTTAACACCATGTTACAATACGTTTGTAGAAAGCATGAGTTCAAATGTTAATCTAAACCTTTTGATGAAATGTCTTTTGTTGAGTGTGAGAGTCTCTATTTATATTGCAGGAGGGCTGATATAAGGCTAACTGTTGAAACTTGTACATCATCAAGTCCTATCCATAAGAAGGTATGCTCTGTATCAAAAAATCATCTTTTGTATATCTGCTATCTTTTGTGTGCTAAAACAGAATGTAAACTGCCCTGATCCAGTGACACAGGCTTTTTTGCTTTTTGCATTGCTTAAGATTCTATAAGGTGCTATGAAACGTTTTTTGTAAATCTCTGTATAAACATATAATCTTGTGTTTAAATGTACCATGATGTGTTTAGGGGTCATACAAAATATTATTCTGATGATTTAAAATGCACATTTTAGATAAACTTGACTACACTTGTCAATGTGAGTCACCACTAATAACTGCTATTATTTACCAAATTAAAAAAAAGTCTGAACCAAAGGTGTGATAAAAGCACCACTTTAGTCACCTTGTACTTTGTATCTTAATTGTAGTACATTTGTCTTTTTTGTAAATGTAAATTTTTTTGTGTCGTGTCTCCTGTATACTTTAACAGCATGCCGCTTGGCACCATAATGTTCAAGAAATAATGTTAATATAATTCTACCCTAACTTTGACAGGAACTTACTGTGCGTATTACAGATGATGCAGATCCATTATTCTTGTATTCTGTTGCTATAGGAGAGGAAGATTTTCAGAGGTAATTGCTATTTGCTGCTTTTATCCAGGAAACAATGGAACTTGCTATCATTGTGAACGTTGTTTTAAGATCAAATATGTACAATATTTTATGTTTCTTACTTAATTTACTGTTGCTATAAACTCTTTGTAGTTTACATACCAGCTGCATTGTATTGTCATTTTAATATAATGTACTTACTGGTTGGTGTACGTGTCAGCATTTGAGTTCGGAAGCAGATTCTGTTCTGAAAGATTTCTTTGTGTCATAGAGGAGTATAATTATAGGAAATGAGATGATAATCCTTTAAAGTATTGTATTAATAATGTAAAACTTCTGTTAACAAGGATAACTTTTTACAATGTTAGATACGCTGCTAACAGAATGAATTCGGTTCTTTGAAAGTTCTGTTTTATGCTGTTAAAAATTAATTTTGTGAACTTTTGAGTTTTGTTCATGTAGTGTCTGAAGTTATGGTGCATATAGTATTGCTGTCTTTAGTAAAGTCAGTGTCTGGTGGCTTTTTACATAAGGGCGGGCATTAGTATTAAAAAAGAAATAAGATGCTTTTCTCTTAAACTGTTTTGTAGTAACTATCTTTGTGTGTGTGTTCTCAAAGATATGGCTGTCTCATTTACTATCCAGATCCTACTTTAATAGGAGGGAAGAAACTGAAACCTCCTAGTAAGAGAGTACAGAAGAAAAACTGCCCAACTAAGGGAAATTGCCAATGACCAAAAAAAAAATGTTGTTTGAATAAAATAGAACTACCACCCAGATCTCATTTAGAAAAGCTAATTTGTTTTCTAGACTGACAATGTTTCAGAATAAAGATCGTTTTCCCTTGACTCTTACCTTTGCCATCCTTTTGTTTCCTTTGCAGTTTAAAGAGCCAACAAGGATTGCTTGTAGATTTTTCAGCTTTTCCCCAGAAATTCATTGATTTGTTAGAACAATGCATTTTGGAACAAGGAAAACAAGTGCCTCGGTAAGGGCAGTTTCATTATTTTGATAGAATTTGGATTAGAAAGAAGCATTCAATAAATGGGAATTCTTACCTGAGGGAGCATTTCACTGCAACCCTCACAGTTGGTTGTATGGGTGCTTGGATATCATGGTGATGATGAGTAATGCCTTTACAAGTGCCAGCGATAGAGGTAGCCAGGGGAGCTGTTCATGTGGTTTTGTATTTGAAATGTTCCTTAACTCTGCTAAGAAAAAATGGTAGAGGAAGACCGCTTTGCTGTCCTACTGGTAATTTAAGAACTAAAATTCTTTCCTTGTCAACACCACCATTCTCCCCATCACTCAGGACTGCAACGTGGATATTGACTTGATTCCTCCATTGCCTCACATCCAGGCCATATCTAAATCTTGCCACTTCTTCCTCAGCTTTTCCAAGATCTCTTTCCATCCTCTCAAACAAATCTCTCATTCAGGCCCTCACTGTATGTCACTTTGCCTACTGCAACAACTTCCTCTCTGGTCTCCTTGAAATCCACATTGTCCCGGTCTGCTCCCTGCAAGATATTACAGCTAAGGCCATTTTCATTGCCTCTTGTTTTGATGATGTTACTGCCCACTTTCAACTCTTCCACTTTCTCCCCACTCACTGTTGAATCAGATTAAATCATCTAGTTACATCTTCAAAGTTCTACATAACGCTGCCCTCTCTTACTTATTATCTGAGCTCCTCTCAGTTTGTGTGATTACCTGTTCTCAGCTTTGTGCATAAGCATTTATGGGTATGTCTCCACTGCAATCAGGAGGTGTGATTATAGCATCAAAGCTAGCTCAACTAACAATAGCAGTGAAGGTGTGGCAGCATAGGCAGATGCATGAGCTAGTCCTGCCTGCCCGTGTCCATAGGTGAGTACTCAAGTACCATTGCCCGGGCTGCTGCTGCTTCATCGCTTTTGTTACTTGAGCTAACTTTAATGCTGTAATCACGTTTCCCAATTGGAGTGCAGACATACCCTGAATGCCATCTTTCATGGTGCCCTTATGCATTGTATCTTGGAACAGATGTTTGGGGAATATCTATCCTAGCCTTTTCAAATGCATTAGCTCCCTTGAGTTAACTGTAAAAAAGAACTGTGGTGTAGATGAGGCCTAAAGGTTTTTAGTCTTCATGTGTGTTAGCAGGTTGAGGTAAACGCAAAGGGAGAACCTAGGTTTTACCTTGACCTGCTAGCATATGTTAAAACTACAATTGTCTTGTTTTTACTAGAATTTTACCTTGTTACCATGTGTTAGTAAACACACAATACACCTTTATTCTAATGAAGACCAATCCTGAGGGGCTACAACATTGTACCCAGCACTATTATTATTGTGTTAAACTGTGTATGCTAGATGTTAAGTAGTGCATCAAATCATGTAAGCTAACTCAGTTTGGGGGGGAGGGGAAAAACACGTTTTCCTTTAGTACAGTGCTTCTCAAAGTCGGGCCGCTGCTTGTTCAGGGAAAGCCCCTGGCGGTCCGGGCCAGTCTGTTTACCTGCCGCGTCCACAGGTTCAGCCGATCGCAGCTCCCACTGGTCGCGGTTCTCCGCTCGAGGCCAACGGGGTCTGCGGGAAGCAGCGCGGGCTGAGGGATGTGCTGGCCGCTCTTCCCGCAGCCCCCCTTGGCCTGGAGCGTCGAACCATGGCCAGTGGGAGCCGCGATCGGCCGAACCTGTGGACGCGGCAGGTAAACAAACTGGCCCGGACCGCCAGGGGTTTTCCCTGATCAAGTGGCGGCCTGACTTTGAGAAGTACTGCTCTAGTCTATTTCTCATGTAGATAGAACAACTTTTGTACTTCTTGCTCCTTGATTAGTGCAGCACATCTAGGGTCTGTCTGTACTGGAGAAAGCTAGGTCTAAAACTCATTTGAAAACACAGTTTAAAAATGGCTTTTTCATTACCAGATTTGAACATAATTTAGCTACCTGTCTAGACAGTCAACATTGTTCAAATAATTTTCCTAATTGATGCGATTGTCCATTCTGGTGGCCAGAATGTTGAGAGCTGATCAAGAGGAGGCTCTTGGTTGAATTCTCAGATGTCTCAGTGTAGCTATAAAATAATGGTGGGAGAAGCCCAGGGAGTCAGTGAAGTTTAAATGGCTGTAACCTTTTTAATTCAAGAGACTGTTGTTTTAAATACTTGTCTTTTGTTGGTGTGTTTATAGGTTTTTAATTCAACTTGTAACATCTTCCCCAGCATTGGATTGCATGCCTGCATGTTTAAATGTAGTGGAAACCAATCCATTCAAACATCTCACTCACTTGTCTCTAAAGCTTTTGGCAGGAAGTGACAGTGACATCAAGAAATATCTTGCCGTCTGCATTAAAAATTTAAAGGTTAGCTTTAAGTCTTTCTTTTATTAAGAAAAAACACAAACACGATCAATTAAAACCTTAATAGATCAGATAGAACAAGATGAGCCTTGAACCTTGGTACGATCCATGAAGGCTCATCCTTCCATGTAGAGCCCCATTGACTTGAATGGGTTTCCCAGTAGGGGTAATGGTCCACACATGCAAATCCGATTCCAAGATCAAGCACCAAATTAGAAGGATATTTAAAGCATATGATTAGTACACTGGCTAGCTCTTATTGCTAAGCTGGTGCTATGTGCATGTACCATATGTATAAGCAGTAACACCCAAGATGAGAATCAGGCTAACTCAAGTGACTTCAAGAGAGTTGCCGTTTGTTTGTTTGTTTTTTGTTTTGTTACCAGTTTAAATTAGATGAAAATTGTGCCCAATGTCTTAGATGTATATAAATACAAGTTTTTATCTTGTTGTATATTTATGCTTGAAAATAATAAACAGTAACGTTAGAAAGTTTCCATTTAATAGGCCTGCCTGGTATAACTAGACTGCAGTGGTTTGAAAACTATACTATGAGAGGGAAAAACTAGAGATGCTGAATGTGTTAAACCTATAATTAGTTCAAAACTCCTTCCTGGATCTTAAGCTAATGAATTTCCCTCAACTCCCAATGAGGATAATTTGTAGCTAAAGGGAAGTTTGTGCTATGGGACAGAATTCCCTCCTCTCTAAATCTAGGCTGGCACAAGTAAGTCCTTTGCAGATGGTGTATATGCTGTTTGCTTCCTAAGGATATTTCCCCCCACCCATCTGCTAGTTTAAAATCTCTTAAGTGGAGTGTGACTCCAATAACAGCTGAGTATAAATTTCAAACTATGATGAACAAGTGGGTTTGAAGTTAGGCAAAAGTATTCTGTTTCTAGAAGAAACAGAGAAATAAATACACAAGACCAGCAAATTTGCATGGAAAATAAAAAATATTTAAGTGCTTTAGAGATCTTCCTGTTTAAATCAAACCCATTACAATATTGTGAGCAAATTTCTTTCCTCCCTTCCTGCTTCCTCAATCATATAACTTACTGACATATTACTTACAATATTTGCTGTGTAGAAAGTGTAATGATTTTTTTTAATTTTTTATTTTGCTAGTGGTTTGGAAGGAGACTTCCTAATTATTGTATACTGTCACCACTGATAGTAATAATATGGTCATTTTACATATTGGTAAAGGTTCTTATTATAAAGGAAAAATCTAATTTTAGCGTGGACTGCTTAATAATTTATAATATAGTTTGTGGGGATTTGGTGTTTTTTAATAGATGGAAAACAGTATGTTGGAAGATAAGCTACACAGATCAGAAGAGGGACTTTCAAAAAGACTAACTGTAACACAGCAGGTAGGAAGCAGCCTTTATTTTAAACAAAACAAACCCTGAAAGTGTGGTGCTAAATCTATACCAAATTGACTTTTAAAAAAAAAGTTACTGCTATACAAACAGAAATCAGCATGTGATTTTTTTTTTTTTCTAGGCTTTGGCAGAAAAAAGTAAGGAACTGGATAAACTGCAAAATGAATGGACATCACAGACCACTTCATTGACTAACAAGTACTCCCGAGAAATCACAGCAGAAAAGGAGAAAGTGCTACGGGTAAGTAAAAATATAGGCATCTGGCTCAGGTAGAGCAGCACCAGAGTAACCTATAGATCGAATACTTCCAATCTATAGCATAGATATGCAAGAGTACTTCTTGGCAATCTGTTGAAGTAAATAGTCCCTCATCTAATAGCATCTTCTGAGGAAAAAAAAAAAAAAAAAAAAAAAGACCTCCCTGAACTCT